TTTCGGTTATAGTTACTGTGCATCCTTGCACTCTTCTAGATTGATCTGAATTATCAGGCGATCTTGCAATGTAGCTTGTTGTGTCTCAGTAGGTTTTGCCCATTGTTGTCTCTGCATCCTCTAGTTCTATTCTTTTGGAGGACTATTTGTGGTAATTTCCTGGATCTGATTGTTCAATTTTTTTTTTAAAAAAAATGAGGTTTGCTATATGTTGGTTTGAATGGTAATTTTTTTCCTCTATTTTTTAAAAATAGTTAACATTGGACTATAGTGCAAATGTGACAGTTCACTGATGCACTGTAATTCAAACAATATGGAGACTGAGGGTGGGGTGTGTGTGTGTGTGTGGAGAAGGAATATGTTTTGCACTGACATTTATTCCCATTTAATGTTGCAACTGGCACCAGAAATTGACCAAAAATACTGTAGTTCAGGACAACAGAAATTGGGTCATTTTGGAAACAGAATTGCAACAATAAATACAATAACCTTCAGGAACTTCTGGCCATGTTTGCTTTTTCTGAAGGGGCCCTTTTATTCTTCTTTCCTGTAGAAATGGCTTGGATTTTTTTTTATTTCCAATAAAAACACAAAAACCAACCCATGCAGTATGCTGAGAGTGTGGTAGTGATGAATTTCTTGGTGATGATGGTCATGATGACAGACATGAGGACTACTGTTCAAACCTATGTTCATTCTCCTACTAGATGCAAGTGGAGCAGAAAACCCTGCTGGAAAGCTAAGAGACTTAGAGGGGAAATCTCATTGGTGCCAATGGGAACACTTTTTAAGGAAACCTCATATCCATATTTCAGGATTGGTGCCTCATTTTGACTGCAGTTGGGAAAGGGAAGAACAAACCTTTCCATGTGGTAGTAATGTAAGTAAACACACACACAACCACACCATGATTGATCAATTTTGCTTGGTTTTGAAATCCTGAAACACAGTTTAATGCTACACATTCACCATAGTATTCAATATAGCCCACAGCTGTAAAGCACTCTCTTCTTTCCACAATGTAAAGAGCCTACAGTCTGTTCTATCACTGCATTTTCACTTGACTTGCTCTATGTGTTGATGTAGCCTTTATAGGAGCCAAGCCATTTTGAAGCATGAATAAATGAAACTCTACCATTTTTTTCATGTCAGGAGCAACTTGAGAAACTTCATGTCACATCTGGTGTGAGAGAATTGGCTGTCTGTAAGAACGGCCAGGGGATGCCCAGATGATTTAACCATCCAGTGGGAGGCTTCTCTCATGTCCCTACATGAGAAGCTGGAGCTGAGAGATGGGAGCTCACCCCGCTCCCTGGATTTGAACCACCGACCTTTAAGTCAGCAGTCCTGCCAGCACAAGGGTTTATGTCATTGCGCCAACAGGGGATCCTTGCCATTACATTACTGTATCATTACAAGGGACTGATGAATCTGTCAATCTCACTTCCTACCACATATTGATCTTTTTTAAAAAAAAATAATAAAAAATAATAGCCATGCTATGAAAAAACAACTGTTCAATTTCTGAAAGTTTTACTGTTAAAACAAACATTGGGAAATGGTACTTTTTTTAGATTATAGCTACTTCAAATATGCAGCCATAGAACTATGGGAAGTGTAGTCCAAGAAAGGGAACATTTCCAGGCTTTGAAACAAACTGAAATAATTCTTTGCCATCTGGAACAACTAAATTCAATATGTTGTTTTCATCACAGACAAGACCAGATAGCTTGTGTCTGATATTTGTTAAAAATGTATGGAGTGGGGTGTTGGAGAAAAAAATAAAGACAACCATAAGTCAATTTCAGAAACTCAGTGTTCAAAGACTCGTAGCTTGTTGGGTAAAATCTATCACTTTTGCCTCTTTCCACATTCAACTGCAAAAAGGTAACGTCTTGATTTTTTTCTCATTGTGTTTATACATTGCTTTTTAGAAAGTTCTCATAAAAAAACAAATGAAATGAAATTCTTTGTCATCACTGGAAATGACTTCAGTAAAAGTAACCCCCAATGTAAGAAGAATATGCTATATGCTGGATACTAATGTCTTTGGTGACCAATTTTATTAAAACTGAATAGATCTGTGAATCCATATACAGTCAAATATTTTATACAGAATATATTTCACAGATATTTTTATTTATTGCATCAGAAGCAAATTGAGAATACAGCTATCATGTACAAAAAACCACAACCCAAGTCAAAAACTTGGCATTAGGCTAGATTTCCTTTGACCAGAAGCAGGCCATTTCGAGTGCCTCTGGTGTAGCTGTAAGAAGGTCCTCCTTGTACACGTGGCAGGGCTCAGACTGCATTGTTATAGGTGGTCTATGGCTTGCTCTATTCCACGCTTACTTGTCATGGACTCCACTTTGTAGCCACATTTCTGAAGATTGGCTTTGCATCTCATGATCCCAGAGCACAGTCTATTCAGCGCCTTCCAAGTCACCCAATCTTCTGTGTGCCCAGGAGGGATCGTCTCATATGGTATCAGCAACTGATTGAGGTTCTGGGTTTTAGTCTGCCAGTGTTGGACTCTTGCTTGCTGAGGTGTTCCCGTTAGTATCTCATTGGCATGCTGGCTGATGTCCGAACAGAGAATGGGCCAAAGATGTCAATTCCTTGGTTCTTTCATTGCAGGTTACTTCTTTCTGACAGATATCAGGTGGTGCAATACTGGCTAAACAGTATAATTTCTCCAGTGGCCTTGAGCATAGACATCCTGTGATAATACGGCATGTCTCATTAAAGCTTTCCTCATGTCCATTAAGGGGGACGTGAGAAGTCTCCCTGCAGGATAGTAACACATCTGGGCTTCCTTTGGGCAACGTCTTCATAGTTGGCTGATTTTTTTTCACCCCAGAAGCAACTTACAGCAAGCAGGCAAGCAAGCAAACAAGTATTTTACAGTGTTCAGTGTTTCTTACATGCACATAGTAATGCAGTCCTGCTCTCTTGCTTGATTTCTGTGATTGATATATTTGGGGAAGTAGAACAATCCCTTATGGGCATGGACCCTACAAAGTTAATTTCAGAAAATTTCAGGTAGGAAAGTTTATTGAGCTTTAATCTTATCTGTAAGCCACACTGAAAAGCCAAAAATCCCTTTTTTTGTTGGGGCTGCTAAGAGGTGTGGGTGGTTTCCCCAAACCAGATCTGCACAATAATTTAATGTAAAGAGGTTTATTAACAGAAGGATTCCTATCTGTTGCACTAACCAGTCCCTAAGTTCATCCAACCTGTTTTAGAATGGTTCCTCATCTTAATGGAGAAATTTGGTGACAGTTATAGATAATATCAGGATGGAGAACATTATTTCATAAATGTCTTAAAATTTGGTTAGGGTTAATGGGATTAATTTATGTCTAGAGCAAATGTTTCTGGAAATTTGACCAAGATTACCTTTAATTCATTGGAATCAAAGAACACCCTTTTTAGTAGAGTAGTGGAGAACCACAGAGTTTAAATGATTAATTTAATATAAAGTAAGCTTTAAAATGGTCCAACATCCCTGTTTCCTCCCACTGATAAAAACAATAGTAGATATGCACTAGCAAATGTAGCAGACATCAAAATAAAACAAAATAAAACAAATTGATGAGATTTAAAGAATAACTTTGCTTACAAAAACTTGTGTAAGTCATCATACAGGCTCAAAACTTGTTTAGGTGGATCAAATCCAGGTAGAAGATATAAGTCCAGTAAAATGAGGACTGAAATAGGATTTCCTCTCTCATGGTGAAACAAAAGAAAGAACTCCCATGCAGTCAGCTAGAGCATCATGCAAAAAGGTAAAATAACATGAAGGTACTAACTAACAGGTTGGCTTTCTAACACACAAACACAGAGAACAAAGAATGAATGAAGTTTAACTCTTCTACTTCAAAGGAGATGGGGCATGGCCTTTAGTCACATATGCCATGGAGAAGGGGGCAAACAAATGTGATCGAGGGTCATAAAACAGACAGGAAGAATCATGCAAAGTTGTTAATTGTACACAGTACTTGGTGCGCAATCAGTCATACAAGCTGTTTATTTTTGTAGCGATTCAAACTGAAAATTAGGAAGAAATTGAGTACTTGATTGTACTTTGTTTTTTAAAGCTTAAATTAAATTAACTTTTCAATGTTCTGATTAAAGTTCTTAATTCTTAATTTCTTAGCTTTAAACTACTCTTCATTATGTATTGATATTTTGAAATTTTAAAACAATTAAAACTCTTTCAGTTGTGCATAAGGTTCAGAAAACACCAGAATGTTTGAATTTTGAATGTTTTCACTGGGCAATCCATCTAGAATGGTTTGACATGTGCCAAAGAAGTCACATTTGGTGTGCTGCATCATGTTTTTTATTTGTTTTGGGGGTTTTTTTTCAATGGGCTGCTACTGCAAGTTAGTGACAACTACTCTACTCATGAATCAATGGAAAGAAAAACTAACAATGTTTGCAACATTTGAAAGAAAGGCGAGATCTACAAATGGATTTGTACATGGACCTTTGGTCAACTTTTACAGAGATTTATTATTTTCAGTTGTGTTTTTTTATTGTATTTTTGACTTCTGTTTTTTATATTAGAGTATTATAGTAGGCTACTCAGACACTTCTTTTTGTACTGCTATTGTGCATAAAAACCGTAATTACATTTTTAAATAATAGGAACAAAATTAGGTATCACATAGATAAAGAAGAAAAATTGCATTTATTTATCCCTGATTCATGATCTGGTATGAAATAATGATGTGAGACTGTGCAATTATTTTCCATTAGAGTGCCCTAGTTAGACTTTCATCTGTGAAAGGAGGAATATATAGACACACACATGCACACACACTCATATATATATATATATATATATATATATATATATATATATATATGACAAGAAATAGTTCAGATGCTTCCCTGATTACGGGTTAAAGAAAGATGTGATTAATTTCTAAGGAGTATTATTGTAAATCTGAGTATTAATGTTATCTCCTTTGTTTATTTTTAAATTGCAGCTCAAGGAAGGTCGAAGATGATGACTTTGAGGATTTTACGACAAACCAGAAATGGGTAATGTCTCCAAAAACACACGACACCGATGTGACACTGTTGCTAAACAAGTTGCTAAGAGAATATGATAAAAAGCTGCGGCCAGACATTGGAAGTGAGTGCTTTTTTCTACAATTTTCTGCAGTGAAGGTGATGAATGTCTGTATTATTTATTGCAGATAATTATGCTCATGTTCACTCTTTAGTGACCAATGTGAACCGTTAAGAGCAGGCATCCTCAAACTGTGGCTCTCCAGCTGTTTGGTCCTCCAATTCCCAGAAACCCTAACAAGCTTGTTCAATTGTCAGGAATTCTGGGAGTTGAAGGACCAAACAGCTGGAGGACCGCACTTTGAGGATGCCTGGTCAAGAGCAATACCTAATGCTATGTTTATGTTCAGACTGATTATAATCTGTACTATATATGCCAGACAATAGATAATACAAACAATAGAACAGTAAGCTTAATTATAAAAGTCTGTAAATTTACTGAATGACTACATGGAGATCATTTGTAGATGATAATGCTTGGTAAAGAGGAAGGCAGTAGGAAAAGGGAGAGATTGTAGTATATGTAATTGGATTAATTAAACCAACTCACAGAGTTTGCAAGATCTAGGATATTGGAAGTACCTCCTCCATAGGCTTGCCATAAGTTGGAATTTATTTGACAGCAAACAAAAGTAGAAAGGAAACTTCTGTTTTAAGGTCTCATTGTCTGTCCTCAAAAAGCTGACCAAGATATAGAAAAAACTGATTTTGGGAGTAATATGTAAATTTCATATGAAACTTTTGGGGAACACTTAGTTGTTGTCTTATAAATGAAAAAAAAGAAAGACAATCGTGCTGGATTGGGAACTTATGGCCCTCTGAATATTGCTGGACTACAGCTTCCATCTCTGCTAACCTTTGACTGCACTGACTAAAAGTAATGAGGGTTGGTGTCCAAAAACATCTACAGAATCATTTGTTCATGGCTCAAAGGAAGTTGTCTAGCGAGAACAAAAAGATAGTTATTTGATTTGAAATTTCACCGTATTCATTATACAGGTTGCATTGCAGTCTTATAGTGAGGTGACTGTTTTCAGTTCCTCCTTGGGGCATTTTCCACATAGTGGGCTAAATCCAATTGTAGACACTAGGGATGTGTGATCCATTTAAAAATGGCTCAAAAGTCATTACAAACCTGGGAGATGCTGGCATTTCATTTCTAAAGTGTTTCTAAAGTATAGTTGGTTACTATAACAAGAGTGATGAAATTTCGTTACTATTTTTACAGTGATTGTTCATTAGTTACTATAACTGGGGAAACTTCACGGGCACCTTTCTAACTCATTTTTAAAGCTATCAGGGTGAAACTTGCTATGATGGTAGAATACATTTCAGAATGTTTCACTTATCCATGGATTTTTAGGGAATTTTCAAAGTTTTTATAAACAACATTTTTAAAAAACAAAACTGCAAGAGCTAACTCCTTGAATTTTCTATACAGTGACAGGTGGTAACAGGGGACTTTCCCCTCCAATTTTCAGAAATATTCATACATATACTGATTTTAAGGATTTAAAAAAGTTTTGACAAAAACCTTTTCAAAAAAGCCACAACAGCTATCTCATTGAACTTCTGTCATATTAACCAATAGAAACCAATATTAACCAATTCTACATTTTCATAGAATTCTAGAGTTGGAGGGGACTCCCAAGAGTCATCTAGTCCAACCCTCTTCTTCCAGGCTGAAGGGCATAATCAAAATTCTACTGACAGATGGCCATCCATGCTTCCCCTATAGTATTGGAACCATCCTTTTAGGGATTTCATCCCAGCATAGCACAGCAATTTACAGAGGCGGCCCTAGGTAATTTTCAACAGTAAGCAAACAGTATTTTGGTGCCCCCCCCCAACCAATCATTGATATGGAGCAGGAACGAGAGGGGCTAGGCGAGGCTCAAAGGCCTGGCCCCTTCGGGAAGAGGTTGCCTGGCAGTGAGGCAAGGAAGCCGAGGCTCCCTCCAGACTGCTAGGGCTGTTGTGAGCGGAGGGGGCGCTCCTCAAGTGGTGGTCGAGGGGCATTTACAGAGGCGCCTCTGTGCCCCTGGCAAAAAAAGTGTACCACGGCCGCTTACTTTGCGTAATGGACGAGCCGCCCCTGGCAATTTACTAGAGCATTTTTCAGTCCTCCTCTTTGTAGATTCAACCATTCATTGGAACTCTCACTGGCTGCTGTTAGGGAGGGACAGATCTCTTTTTCTGCTACCCTGATTGATGCTGATGCATTCTGGGAAATATAGTTTAGGGCAGGGCCTTTTGAATTCTCTGGCATAGAGCTCCCCCCTTCCCAAACTACATTTATCAGAGTTCTGTGCTGTTCCCAGCAAACACACTGCTCCATTTTGTTCCTGCTCCTAATGCTGAAACTCCATTAATTTAGAGAAAAGGCAGCCTTTTTGGCTTTGTTTTGCTTTGCTTCCTCGAGCTGAAAAGGAAACTAACTTTGGGAGCCTTCCGAGATTTACAAAACTAAAACAAAAAAGTATGGAGTAAGTTTGCATTCTAAATTTTTTGGCACACCAACGTATTGGATATTGCCTTGTAAGTACAAAATTTAATGGATTTGATCCAAATTATGAGGCAAATGAAAAAATGCATACCTCTAGTAGACGCACAAAGTCAATGGGAGATTATATATATAAAAAATTCCCCACTGAGTCAATGTGGAATGTAGTCTAATTGATTAGTGGACCCTCTAAGTACTGATTGACCAAGTGCCCAACTGCATTTAATTCTTGTGGCCACACATTGCTTAACTGTGCTGTGGATTTATAAAATTATGGACAGTGAAAAGAGAACTAATTTCAGTATTCTTTAGAATTATCTTAGCAAAATGCTTATATAGTTTCATGTATTTTTTTAGTAATAGGCCAGGGAATACTGAATTTGAGAATTGGGATAAACTCAGCAAGAGCAGGATTCAAACCCTTGCTTTGCCATGAAACCCCCTGTCTGACCTTGAGCTAGTTACATACTCTCAGCCTAAAAGGAGGGTGTGGCAAACTTGCCTTTGAGTAAATCTTGCAAGAAAACCTTATCATAGAATTGCCTGAAGACAGACTTGTGTTGAAGGCATGCAATGGTAACACAGATCAGAACAAAGACAAAATATATAACTATCTTAGAAAAGTCAGTATGAAAGCTATAATAATCATTATCAATTCAGACCACTTTTAAAATAAATTAAATTCTTAGATGAGATGTAATAATGATATGTATTTATTACATAGGATAGTTAAGAATGGCATTTGCATTTTCAGAGATAGTATATCTGTTACTGCTTGATGCTGGGGAACTGAACAACAGGGTGTAGCTTATTATATTTATCACATCTTCTTTCTGAAAGAAAAAAAAACCTTAGACCTGCAGCCAAACTAGGAAAGAGGTGTGTGGCATCTTAAAGAATAAAAGATTTATTATGGCATAAGATTTCATGTACTACCAGAGTCTATCTTCTCCGATGTGTGATGTTTATCATGTTGACAGGTGCACACACACAAAGTATAAAGAGGACGCAAATGTTAAAAATGCAATGACAATAAGATGCCAAAATATAGTCTATGTGACAAGTGTGTATGAAATTTATGAACAGCAGTAATTTGTGATAACAAAGGTCTAAATCCAATTGCCAGTCTAAACTAGTCTAGAGCCACTGAATCAATTACATAGGCATTGACCTACCATTCAGAAAGCAGTTCAATGGATACTAGACATGTGCATTCGGGGGAAACCTTGTCCTGTTTCTTGTGCTGGCTTTTGTAAGGGCCCTGATCCATTTTTTGTAAGCCTCCCGAAATTGGGAGGATTGTTTTCAGTTCTTTCATTCGGGATCTGAAAATTGAACCATTATTGGGGGGGCGGGGCTTCCCACCCGCTGGCTTCCTTGTTCGGCATGCATTCTTCTTACTTGGCACCTGCTGTTTCTACTCTTAGAGTAAGAGGTGCTCAGCTATAAGCACTGGCAGGCATGTGTGCTTTCTGGGCTTTCCTGCACACTCCTCAACACATGCACTTTCCTTGGAAAGAAAGTGCATGTGTGGCAGGGTGTGCAGGCAGTCCTGGAAAGCATGTGCAGCTGCCAGTGCCTTCAGTCAAGAGCCTCTTACTCTAGAGCAGTGGTTCTCAACCTGTGGGTTCCCAGATGTTTTGGGCTTCAACTCACAGAAATCCTAACAGCTGGTAAATGTTCGGAATGAATTTTGCGCACATGTCTAATGGATACTGTAGTTTCAGTTAATGCTTTGTTTAGTCCCAAATTATCCTTGTTAGTGATCTTTCCAAGGACACTTAAAGAGTCACTGTTGGCTGAGACTGAGAGAAAATTTTTAGCATTGAATGTTTTGACAGTATTTCAGTTTCTCAAGCTCAGGGCTGCATCTGTTGCATGGTCCTCTTTGGTTTCTCTTATGCTGCATTTATCCATATCTCTACACTATCAATGTAGCCCTTAAGTTTTGAAGGAAGATGGCATCAGAAGGCATAACATTGCTTGGAGCTCCTAATTTGGTTTCACCGCTGACATATTTTACTTTATTTTATTTATTGTTGTTTGTTTTATTGTTTTAATGCCATAACATTCCCATGATGTGAATCATTGGGTAGACACCAAGCCTGCGGATTATACTTTGTAAAGCACTTAGATCTACCAAGCAGAGCCTGGTGCAGATGTCATATATATTCTATTTCATATTCCCCAGTGATAGATACACAAGAGGCATATTATGTGAAATACTTAAAGTAAGACATATCCATCTGTTTAGTAGCAACCAATGATTCTAATCTCTAGTATATCATTGTGAACCACAAAACAGGTGGTAGGCAGAAAATTTACTATTCATTTGCAACAGATCTCAAAAGGGACACGCTGATGGTTCACTTGGCAAAAGAAAGCAAGGTGGGGAAAATGGATATTTTTAAAAAAATATGTATTTACTTTTTCACTTTTTGAAAAATATGTTGTTTGTTTTGTTGATATGATTAAATTACCTTGATTAAGCATGCATGGATATATTCACATAAAGCATAAGAGATTCCTTGTGTGTCTAGATCTACATAGGTCAGTGTTTT